CCCGACCCGGGCATTGGTACTGCCGCGTCAGGTACTAGTGAGGCTGCTGCTCTAGGTGCCAGTGCGTCTGTGCTCTCAGGTACTGGTGAGTCCGCCCTCTCAGGTACTGTGTCCGCTTCGGCCTCTCACACCTTCACCCTTGACTCTGGAGCGTCTCGCTCCTTCTTTAGGGACCGCACCACTCTCACGCCGCTGAGTCGGCCTGTTGCGGTGTCCCTGGCTGACCCCTCTGGGGGGCCTGTCTTGTCTCGCTTCTCCACTGTCCTCCCGTGTCCGGCGGCCCCCTCTGGCACCCTGACTGGTCTCTACCTCCCCTCGTTCTCGACGAACTTGGTGAGGGGTGCTGACCTTCAGGATGCGGGTGTCCACCAGTTCACCCCTGCTCGTCCGCGGGTGACCCACTGCACGGAGGCGGATACAGGTCGCCACCTGGCTACGTTTACACGTCGGCGGTACACACTGTACACACTGACCACTGCTTCTCCTCCAGGTACTGCGTCTGGTAGGGTCCCTTCGTCTGGTCAGGTGTTTGCTGCAGCGTCCAGGTCTGGTCCTGAGTCTGCCCCCTGTTCGTGTCGTCGTCTGTCTCACGAGACCCTCCTCTGGCACCACCGCCTTGGCCACCCCTCTCTGCTTCGGCTCAGAGGCATGGCCTCGCGAGTCCTTGTGTCTGGTCTTCCCCGGTCCCTCCCTCCCCTCCCTCCGGGCCCTGGCCCTGCCTGTGTCCCCTGTGTCGAGGGGCGCCAGCGTGCTGCCCCTCACTCCTCCCAGTTTCCTCCGACAGAGGCCCCGTTGCAGACGCTTCACATGGACGTGTGGGGCCCAGCCCACGTCCGTGGCCAGGGTCAGGAGCGCTACTTCCTGCTGGTGGTTGACGACTACTCGCGTTACACCACAGTCTTCCCCTTGCGCAGCAAGGGTGAGGTCACTGAGGTGTTGATCGACTGGATCCGCGCAGCTCGTCTCCAGCTTCGGAGGAGCTTTGGCTCTGACTTCCCTGTTTTGCGTCTGCACTCGGACAGAGGCGGAGAGTTCTCCTCTGCCCTCCTGAGTGCCTACTGTCGTGTGCGAGGCATCCGTCAGACCTTCACGCTTCCGGACTCACCACAGCAGAATGGGATTGCTGAGCGCCGCATTGGCATGGTCATGGACGTCGCTCGTACGTCCATGATGCATGCGGTTGCTCCCCATTTTCTGTGGCCGTTTGCGGTCAGGTACGCTGCGCACCAGATCAACCTCCACCCCAGGGTCTCTCGACCGGAGACCTCCCCAGCTCTGCTGTGGACGGGGAAGGTTGGCGATGCGTCGGCGTTCCGGGTCTGGGGATCTCGGGCGTTTGTTCGCGACCTGTCTACGGACAAGCTGTCCCCTCGTGCTTCTCCCTGCGTCTTCCTGGGGTTCCCCCCCGACGCCCCTGGGTGGCAGTTTTACCACCCCACCTCCCGACGTGTTCTGTCCTCCCAGGACGTCACGTTCGACGAGTTAGTCCCCTACTACCGCCTCTTCCCCTACCGCACTCCGTCCCTCCCCCCACCCCCGCTCTTCTTGGTACCAGGTCCCCCCCCGGTAGTCCCCCTCCCCCCTTAGGGTCCTGCCCCTTCAGGTGTGTCCCAGGTAGACGCGGTTGAGCCTGTCGAGGTCACTGGTGACTCTGGTGCTGCTGCGGGAGCTGAGCCTGGGGGTGCGGAGTCTGGGGGTGCTGAGCCTGGGGGTGCTGTGCCTGGGGGTGCCGAGCCTGGGGGTGCTGTGCCTGGAGGTGCTGAGCCTGGGGGTGCTGTTCCTGGGGGTGCTGCGCCTGGGGGTGCTGTGCCTGGGGGTGCTGAGCCTGGGGGTGCTGAGCCTGGGGGTGCTGTTCTTGGGGGTGCTGAGCCTGGGGGTGCTGTGCCTGGGGGTGCTTCGTCTCGCCGGGAGCCACTCTCCTCACAGGAGCTGCGTGAGTGGTTTGCCCGGCGCTGGAGGCGTGCTGCTGGTGCTGGTGGTTCTTCGGCTGCAGAGGGTACTGCTGCCACGCGTCCTGGCGGTGCTCGTACTGTGGGTGCTGGAGCTGCTGGGTCTGAGAGCTCTCCTGGAGCTGGTACTGCTGAGGGTGTTGGCACTGAGCCTGCGGTTGGAGGTCCGACTGACAGTACTCCTGGTGCTGCTGCTGGAGGTTCTGGAGCTTCTGGTGGTTCTGCTGGAGGTGCTGCTGGAGTGGGTGCTCCTGACGGGCCTGCTGGTGCTGTTCCTGCTGTTTCTGGCGTCGCCGCGCGGCCCCGACCGTACTTCGTTCCGCTCCTGCAGCAGGTTCTTGGTCTTGCACCTCCTCCTCCTCCCTTAGAGGGTCCGCAGCCTGTCCGGTCACAGCCACAGCTACAGCATGCCTCCCCTTTGCCTGCTCCTTCTCCCTACGCTGGTCCGACTGGAGTTCTTACTGAGCGTCGTGCGCCTGCGTCTCGTCCTGCGTCGCCTGTCCGTGCTACTCGCACTAGTGGTCGCGGGTCACGTCAGCGTCCTCCTCCTGTCCCTGGCACGCACCGGATGTCACTGCGTCCGTCCACTGCTCCTCTGCGTGCCCCTTTGCCTTCTCCTCCTGCTTCCTCTCTTCCTGCTCTTGCCGACCCGGAGTCGGACTCTCTTCGTGCTGCCAGTCCTACTGTCACGCGTCTCCTTGCTACTGCTGTCACTGACCCTTCCTTCGAGTCGTCTGCTGCGTCTGCCCTTGTCACTGAGCTTGTCGACTTTGCTGCGCGCTGTCGTCTAGACTACGCTGCTCGTCTTGTCACTGAGTCTGAGTCCGCCTGTCCTCCGTCCGTCGGGGGTGAGTGTGCCCTTGGCACGGACGTCCTTGAGGACAGGCAGGAGGAGTTCCAGTGTCTAGCCGCTGCTTCACCTCGTCTCGCGTCTGTACTGCTAGCCCCTGAGGGAGACCCGGATGCACCAGACATCCCGACTCCGCGCTCTTACGCGGAGGCGATAGAGGGTCCCTACTCCTCTCAGTGGCAGGCAGCTATGGATGCAGAGATGGCTTCCTGGAAGTCCACAGGCACCTACGTTGACGCTGTTCCCCCTCCTGGGGCGAACATCGTCAGTGGCATGTGGATTTTCAGGGTGAAGCGGTCGCCGGGTTCTCCGCCTGTCTTCAAGGCGCGTTACGTGGCTCGTGGCTTCAGTCAGCGGCAGGGGGTTGACTACTTTCAGACCTTCTCCCCCACCCCGAAGATGACCACTCTTCGGGTTCTGCTGCACGTTGCTGCTCACCGCGACTACGAGCTGCACTCTCTCGACTTCAGCACAGCTTTCTTGCAGGGCAGCCTGCACGAGGAGATCTGGCTGCGTCGCCCACCTGGCTTCACTGGGTCTTTCCCTCCTGGTACCCAGTGGAGTCTCCGGCGTCCAGTCTACGGTCTCCGCCAGGCGCCACGTGAGTGGCACGACACACTGAGGACTACGCTCGCGGCACTTGGGTTTGCTCCTTCTACTGCCGACCCGTCGCTGTTTCTGCGCACCGACACCTCTCTGCCGCCGTTCTACATCCTCGTGTACGTCGACGACTTGGTCTTTGCCACAGCTGACACTGCTGGACTCGCCTACGTGAAGTCCGAGCTGCAGAAGAGACACACGTGCAATGACCTGGGTGAACTGCGTAGCTACCTTGGCTTGCAGATCACCCGGGACAGAGCACGCCGCACCATTACCCTGACTCAGTCACACATGGTGCAGCAGGTCCTTCAGCGCTTCGGCTTCACGTACTCCTCGCCTCAGGCCACTCCTCTGCCTACTCGCCACTCGCTCTCAGCTCTGCCTTCGGATGAGTCCGTAGAGTCGAGTGGTCCGTTTGCAGAGCTTGTTGGCTGCCTCATGTACCTGATGACCTGCACACGACCTGACCTCGCATACCCTCTTAGCATTCTCGCACGCTTTGTTGCTCCTGGGAGACACCGACCAGAGCACATGGCTGCAGCGAAGAGGGTGTTGCGTTACTTGTGCAGTACGTCGGGCATGGGGCTAGTGCTTGGAGGGCGCAGTCCAGTGGTCCTCACTGGGCACGCAGACGCTTCTTGGGCTGACGACCAGGCTACGCAGCGGTCGTCACAGGGTTACACCTTCAGCCTTGGTTCCGGCTCTGTCTCGTGGCGGGCTACCCGCTCGTCTTCTGTTCTCGGCTCCAGTTGTGAGGCTGAGATCTACGCTGGGGCTATGGCTGCGCAGGAGTTACGCTGGCTCACCTACCTGCTGACCGACCTTGGAGAGCAGCCTCGTTCTCCTCCAGTCCTGTACGTAGACAACAAGGCCATGCTGGCCTTGTGTCGAGAGCAGCGACTGGAGCACAGAACGAAGCACATTGCTCTCCGCTACTTTCTTGCTCGTGAGCTACAGCAGCGTGGACAGTTGCGACTTGCGTACGTGGCCTCTGAGGCCAACACTGCTGATGTCTTCACCAAGGCACTTGCGCCTTGTGATCATCAGCGTTGTTGCACGCAGTTGGGTCTTGTGCCTGTCTTGCCTCACTTGCTCTCCTCTTGACCTTGCTTGTACCTTCGCCTATATATACTCTTGCTCTTGCTTGCTTGACTCTTGTATATCTCTATATATGATCTTGCATGTGAACTGGCCGTCTGGCCTTTGAACTTGTGCTCGGAATGCGTGGTGACTTTGTGATCCACCCCGAGCTTGCTTTGCTTTGCTTTGCTTGACTGGTCTTGTGACCCCTTGTTCTCCCCCACTTTGCCTATGGGGGTGTGTCAGAACATATCTATAGCTTATACTATTGTGTAGGCTGTAGTGGGGTATCCCGTAGGGGGTACAACCCAGTTAGGGTTTCATATTTGTACTGCCTTCATTCATAGTTCACACATTCCTGTTCATTCAGTTTCACATTAGGCGCCTCATACTGCCGTACCTGTTTCCCGACCTCGCCGCCTTTCCCACTATCGCTGACATTGTTACGCACCTTCGCACTAGTGACACCCGCTACCGCGCTGCGCTTCCTGCTGAGTTCTGCGCCAAGAACCCCCCCCCCCATGTACATCACCCTCTACTACGTAGTCACCTGGCTCCCTGACTCCCTTCGCTCGGTCAGGGACCACTTCCTCTCTGTTTGCCCCACCACACTCAGCGTTGACCTCCTCAAGGAGCGCCTCCTGGCAGCTGAGAAGAGTATAGTCGCTGTAGGAGCCTCTAGAGGTGACCCGCGTGCCCCTGTCTTTGAGGGGTGTTCCCCCTCCCCCCTTTTGCCCTCTGTTGCCTCTGCTGCTGCCGTCGACTTCGTTGGCACCGAGTCGGTCACCGCTGCGTCTGCCCCTAGTGGGAGACGCCGCACCGGCAAGGGCAAGGGGGGCAAGGGCACTGGTGGGGCTGGCGGGGGCGGTGGAGGTGGATGAGGCGGAGGGAGTGGGGGTGGTGGTGGGAGTGGTGGCGGGGGTGGGGGCTTCAGTGGCGGCAGTGGCGGCGGAGGCGGCGGCAGCGGTGGCGGTGGGAGAAGAGGAGGAGGCAATGGCGGCGGTGGCGGAGGTGGCGGTGGAGGAGGTGGAGCTAGTCGGGGTGGCTCTACGCAGTGGGGCGGCTTAGGTGGTGGTCAGCGCCAGCAGCAGCAGCGCACTTGTGAGACCCCGTCCCCCCAGCAGCTTCGTGAGTGGTACGCTGGGCGTCAGCGAGGTGGGGGTACTGATCCCTGTACCTACGTCATCCATACCGGCGACCGCGCTGGTGAGCAGTGCGGGGGCCCGCACTCCATCCAGCGGTACTTCTGCCGCCTGACGGACGCTTGGCGTCACCCGTTTACTGACGCCACTGAGATCCCTCGCTGGGGAGAGTTGTCTAGGGCGGGGGTTGCTATCTTTGATCTTGACTATGATGCTATTCTTGTTGCCATGTATGCTGTGTCTACTAGTGATGAGGGTGACTGTTACCTGTATGTTCCGCCTGACCCGGGCATTGAGGCTGCTGCTCTAGGTGCTAGTGCGTCTGCTGCCTCAGGTGCTGGTGAGTTTGCTCTCTCAGGTACCACGTCGGCTCAGGCCTTACACACCTTCACCCTTGACTCGGGTGCTTCCCGCTCCTTCTTTCGAGACCGCACCACGCTTACGCCGCTCAGTCGGCCGGTTGCGGTCTCCATGGCGGACCCCTCTGGGGGTCCTGTCCTTGCTAGCTTCTCCACTGTCTTACCTTGTCCGGCAGCCCCCTCTGGCACCCTGTCAGGTCTCTACCTCCCCTCGTTCTCTACGAACTTGGTGAGTGGAGCTGATCTACAGGATAGGGGGGTTGACCAGTTCACTCCTGCGAGTCTGCGGGTGACCCACTGTACGTGTGCTCGGACGGGCCGAAACTTGGCAACATTTACCCGTCGGCCGGGGTCAAGCCTGTACACACTGACTACTGAGGGTGCTGGGCGTGGGGGTGCTGGGGGTGCGGAGCCTGGGGGTGCTGAGTCTGGGGGTGCTGGGTCTGGGGGTGCGGAGCCTGGGGGTGCTGAGCCTGGGGGTGCTGAGTCTGGGGGTGCTGAGCCTAGGGGTGCTGAGCCTGGGGGTGCAGAGCCTGGGGGTGCTGGGTCTGCTCGTGTGGCCTCTGGCGGTGCTTCGTCAAGGCGGGAGCTAATCTCTCCGAAGGAGCTGCGCGAGTGGTTTGCCCCACGCTGGAGCCGTGCTGCTGGAGCTGGAGGTACTTATGTTGCTGCTGGTCCTGGAGGTGCTCGTACTAGCGGTACTGGAGCTGCTGGGAATAGGGGTGCTGCTGGGGCTGCTGCAGTTAGTCCTGCTGGAGGTACTGCTGGAGCTGCAGGCGGTACTGGAGCTGACGGTCCTGCTGGAGTTGGTGCTGCTGGAGCTGCTGGAGCTGGAGCCGCTGGAGGTGCTGCTGGCGCTGGTGCTGCCGCTGGAGGTATTGGTGCTGTCCCTGCTGGTTCTGGAGGCGCTTCACGGCCAAGGCCGTACTTCGTTCCGCTCCTTGAGCAGGTTCTTGGTCTCCCGCCCTCTACTGGTCCTGCTCCTCCCTTAGAGTGTCCACAGCCTGTCCAGTCGCGGTCACAGTTACAGTCGCCTCCCCCCTGCCTGCTCCTTCTCCCTACACTGGTCCTACTGGAGGTCTTGCTGAGGGTCGTGAGCCTGCGTCTCGTTCTGCGTCGCCTGTTTGTGCTGCTCGCACTAGTAGTCCTGCTCCGCGTCCGCGTCCTCCTGCGGTCCCAGGCACACACCAGATGGCACTACGTCCTTCCACTGCCCCTCTACGTGTCCCGTTGCCGTCTCCTCAAGAGTCCTCTCTTCCTGTCCTTGCTGACCCGGAGTCTGACTCTCTTTGTGCTGCCAGTCCTACTGTCATGCGTCTCCTGGCTACTGTTGTCACTGACCCTTCCTTTGAGTCCACTGCTGCGTCTGCCTTAGTTGCTGAGCTTGTCGACTTTGCTGCTCGCTGTCGTCTAGACTACGCCACTAGTCTCGTTGCTGAGTCTGCGTCTGTCTGTTCTCCATCCGTCGGGGGTGAGTGTGCTCTTAGCACGGACGTCCTTGAGGACAGGCAGGAGGAGTTGCAGTGTTTTGCTGCTGCTTTGCCTCATCTCGTGTCCACGCTGATTGCCCCAGAGGGAGACCCGGATGCACCAGACATCCCGACTCCTCGATCGTACGCTGAGGCGATCGAGGGTCCCTACTCCTCTCAGTGGCAGTCAGCCATGGACGCAGAGATGGCTTCCTGGAAGTCCACAGGCACCTACGTCGACGAGGTTCCCCCACCTGGGGCGAACATCGTCAGTGGCATGTGGATTTTCAGGGTGAAGCGGCCGCCGGGTTCTCTGCCGGTTTTCAAGGCGCTTTACGTGGCTCGAGGCTTCAGTCAGCGGTAGGGAGTTGACTACTTTCATACCTTCTCTCCCACCCCGAAGATGACCACTCTTCGGGTGCTGCTGCACATAGCAGCTCAGCGCGACTACGAGCTTCAATCTCTTGACTTCAGCACAGCTTTCCTGTAGGGCAGCCTGCACGAGGAGATCTGGCTACGCCGCTCAACTGGCTTCACTGGGTCGTTTCCTCCAGGTACCTAGTGGAGCCTCCGACGGCGAGTCTACGGTTTAGGGTTTAGGGTTTAGGGTTTAGGGTTTAGTGATCATTGTCAAACTTGTATGCTATAGTCTGTGTAGGCTGTAGTGGGGTAGACAACACTTTTAGGTTTTCCTACTTGTACCCACTTGTTTCCTAGTGCACACATTCCTCATTTCTTCACATGGTATAGAGCAGGTTCCCTAGTGGGAACGCTTCCTTGGGCCCACCACTGAAACTTTTTTTTTCTGACCGGAGCAACAGTTGCTCCTGCCCGAGGCGCGCCTTGTGGGCTGCCCTTCTGTCGACCTCTCATAGAGACCTCTCTCACGGCCCTTCGCGCCACCCTCAGCGGCCCCGTCGCCGCCCTTCCAGGCCCCTCGCGGCCCCTAGCGGCCCTCTTGCCGCCCCTACGCGGCCCTGTCGCCGCCCCTAGCGGCCCCGTTGTCGCCTCCCTCCCTACGCGGCCCCGTTGCCGCCCCTACGCGGCCCCGTAGCCACCCCTAGCGGCCCCGTCGCCGCCCCTACGCGGCCCCGTCGTCGCCCCTAGCGGCCCCGTAGCCGCTCCCCTCCCTATGCGGCCCCGTAGCCGCCCCTAGCGGCCCCGTCGCCGCCCCTACGCGGCCCCGTCGCCGCCCCTAGCGGCCCCGTAGCCGCTCCCCTCCCTACGTGGCCCCGTAGCCGCCCCTACGCGGCCCCGTCGCCGCCCCTAGTGGCCCCGTCGCCGCTGACCTCCCTACGCGGCCCCGTTGCCGCCCCTACGTGGCCTTGTCGCTGCCCCTACGCGGCACCGTCGCCGCCCCTAGCGGCCCCGTAGCCGCTCCCCTCCCTACGCGGCCCCGTCGCCGCCCCTACACGGCCCCATCGCCGCCCCTACGCGGCCCCGTCACCGCCCCTACGCGGCCTCGTCGCTGCTGATCTCCCTACGCGGCCCCGTTGCCGCCCCTACGCGGCCTCGTCGCCGCCCCTACGCAGCCCCGTCGCTGCCCCTAGCGGCCCCGTCGCCGCTCCCCTCCCTACGCGGCCCCGTCGCCGCCCCTACGCGGCCTCGTAGCTGCCCCTACGCGGCCCCGTCGCCGCCCCTAGCGACCCCGTCGCCGCTCCCCTCCCTACGCGGCCCCGTCGCCGCCCCTAGCGGCCCCATCGCCGCCCCTACCCGGCCCCGTCGCCGCCCCTAGCGGGCAGCCGAGCTGCCGAGCCGCCCAGCAGCCGAGCCGCCCCTGGAGCAGCCGCCACTCCAGCAGCCGCCTCTGGAGGAGCCGCCACTGCAGTAGCCGCCCCTGGAGCAGCCGCCACTGCAGCAGCCGCCCCTGGAGCAGCCGCCACTGCAGCAGCCACCCCTGGAGCAGCCGCCACTGCAGCAGCCGCCATTGGAGCAGCCGCCACTGCAGCAGCCGGCCCTAGAGCAGCCGCCACTGCAGCAGCCGCCCCTGGAGCAGCCGCCACTGCAGCAGCCGCCCCTGGAGCAGCCGCCCCTGGAGCAGTCGCCACTGCAGCAGCCGCCCCTGGAGCAGCCGCCACTGCGGCAGCCGCCCCTGGAGCAGCCGCCACTACAGCAGCCGCCCTTGAGCAGCCGCCACTGCAGCAGCCGCCCCTGGAGCAGCCACCCCTGCAGCTGCCGCGGAGCTCTTGCTCTACAGTGGTAGCGGCATCGCCGTTGCCGCCGTCGTACGCCTGCCCTTCTCGCCATTGGTGAGCACTGCCCTGCCCGTACTGCTGTTACTGCTACTCTTACTACTTCTGCTCTTTCTACTGCTACTGCTGCTCCTGGCGTGGCCAGATGCAGCTCCAGCGTCGCCCGCGTGAGTCCCTCACTGTTAAAATATATATTGTGTAGCATGCCAACACATGTGACTGTACACCAATTGTGGTGTACTGTTGGGTTGGGACTACACCCAACTTTGGGTGTAGTCTTGCACCTTGGGGTGCCAATCCACCCAATTGTGGTGGAGCCCCCAAATGCAACCCTCTTGACTTGTGGGTACCTCACTTCCCACAATTGAGGTTCCCCCAAGCCAAGTGGGCCTAGGGTTGCCTCACTTCTACAAAGTATGGGCAACCCAACCCTCTTGACCTATGGTTCCCTCATCCCCCCAAGTGAGGTCAACCCAACCTATGGTCACTTTGATCCTTCCCTTCCATCCTTCCCTTCCAACCTATCCTTTCAACCATGTATGCTAGGTTGTCCCCTAATGAAATCACTTGTTGAATTCTCAATCTTCACATGGTATAGAGCTAGTTGTTCCTAAGCCTTCTCTCTCCCTCCCTCCAAGTTTTTTGCTTCCCCATGGGCCCACCCCACAGCCACAAACCCCCTACGTGTGGCTCAACCTAGCACCTCCTTGGCACGATCTACGCCGTCGCCACTCTTCCCTCCCTCCGCCGTGATTGCGCCTTCCTCGCCTGCGGATCCGACCGCCGCGAGTGCATCACAGCCCCCCCGTCGCCGCGACACACCGTCCCTGCCCCCTCCACCCTTTTTTTTTTTCCGCCGCCGCGCCTTCTCTGGCGCCGCCTGCGCATCCCGCCGCGACGCCTCGTCGCCGCCTCCTCCTCCCCCTGCCGCGACCCCCCGTCGCCGTCTCCCTCCCACCGCCGCGCCTACTTCAGCGTCGCCCGCACATCCCTCCGCCGCGACACCCCGTCGTCGCCTGCCCCTCCCGCTGCCGCGACGGCGCGTCGCCGCCTCCCCCTACCGCCGACGCGCCTTCCTCGGCGCTGCCTGCTCATCCCGCCGTCGCGACGCCCCGTCATCGCCTCCCGTCCCGCCGCCGCGACTACGCGTCGCCGCCTACGCTCCCCATTGCCGCGACTTCGCGTCGCCGCCTACGCATCCCGCTGCCGCGACCTTCTCGTCGCCGCTTGCACGACCCGCCGCCGCGACTTCGCGTCGCCGCCTGCACGACCCGCCGCCGCGACTTCGCGTCGCCGCCTGAGTATCTCGCCGCCGCAACCTTCTCGTCGCCGCCTGCACCCCTTGCCGCCGCGACCTAAAGTCGCCGCCCGCGCGACCTCTTGCCGCGACCTGCTCGTCGCCGCCCGCACATCCCGTCGCCGCGACCTAAAAATCGCCCCCCCCCCCCCCCCCGCATCTTACCGCCGCGCCTTCCTCGTCACCGCCCGCGCATCCCGCCACCGCACCCTCCCCGTCGCCGCTCGCTCATTCTGCCGCCACGACTCCCTCGTCGCCACCCGCGCATCCCGCCGCCGCGCCTTCCTCGTAGCAGCCGCCTCATCCCTCAGCAGCAGCGTCATTGGCAGCAACAGTCCCACCCACACCTACACCTGTGTTCTCCCTCCTACTCCCCCTTTCCTCCTCCTCTCCTCCCACGCAGCAGCAACCAGGACACCTCAGCAGCCACAGCAGCAACACCGGCAGCAGCGGCAGTAGCGGCAGCATCAGAAGCAGCAGCGGTAGCAGCTGCATCCACCATCTTCCTCCCCCTCCTCCCCTCCCCCCCCCCCCCCCCCCCCCCTCCTCCCTCAGCAACGGCAGCAGCGGCAGCAGTGGCAGCATCAGGAGCAGCAGTGGCAGCAGCTGCATCCACCATCTTCCTCCCCCTCCTCCCTCAGCAGCGGCAGCATCAGGAGCAGCAGCGGCAGCAGCTGCATCCACCATCTTCCTCCCCCTCCTCCCTTAGCAGCGGCAGCAGCGGCAGCATCAGGAGCACCAGCGGCAGCAGCTGCATCCACCAACTTCCTCCCCCTCCTCCCTCAGCAGCAGCAGCAGCGGCAGCAGCGGCAGCAACGGCAGCATCGGCAGCAGCGGCAGCAGCAGCAGCAGCCGAAGAAGACCTCCACTCCCCGCAGCAGCACCCCCTCCTCCTCCCCCCGCCCTCCTCCCTCTCGGCTGCCGCACGTCCACCCGCCATCGCCCCCCCCCCCCTTTGACCACCGCGGGTCCACCCGCCGCCGTCCACCTCCAGGCCGCCGCGGGTCCACCCGCCGTCGCCCCTCATGGCTACCACTCCTCCCCCTCTCCCCCCTCCCATTGACGCCTCCTCCGTTGACAAGCTTCAGCTTGCCGCGGACCGCTCGGCGATCAACTGGCATTCCTTCGTCGGGAGCATCCGCCGTGTTCTCCAAGATGCATTCGTCGGACCCTACTGCGTCATCGACGTCCTCCTCCGCCGCCCGCAAGCCCTCCAGCCCACGGCACCCAATCACCCCGGCGAACCCCCTCCACCCCCCATTCCTCCTGGTCCTCCTCCTACTGAACCCACCTTGGAAATCGCCACTACCCCGGCGCTCCAGGATGCCGCCGATGCCGCATTTCTCCACGATCGCCGCGAATACCTCATCCGCAAGGCGGAGCATGAGGTTGCGGTACATAACCACGACTTCGCGGTAGCGGAACGCGCCAATTGCCTGGCGCTCCTTGATGAGTACAATACGGCCATGGCGGACTACCTCCCTCGGAGCATCGCATGGGCCACTGCCGATAACCGCGCCTGCACCGTCCTCCTCGGCGCACTCCCTGGTACCCTCATGCGCCGTTTCCAAGCTCGTGAGATGCGCACCTCCCTCATCTGGGCCGAGCTCCAGGCGATGTTCGAGCGTCGCGACATCAGCTCTGTCGGCGCCCTGTTCCAGGAGTACTTCTCCATCACCCTCGCCACTTGTGATGGCGCAGTTGACTACGTGGGGCGCATGCAGGAGGTCGCTGATCGCCTTGCGGCACGCCAAGCTGCCCTCCCCGAGCCTCTGCAAATCCACCGCCTCCTCTACAACCTCACCCCGGACTACGATTCCCGCCTCCATGCCTTCACTGAGGCCTGTTGATTGTGTAGGTGGTTGTAGTATTTTGCTCTAGCTGGTTGTGGGCTAAGGGTTTGGGCAAAATGTGGTGGTTAGACTTGTTGCGGGCTGGTATTGATCTCGCACCCAACAAGCACCAACAAACCTTTGCTATTCACTACAACACCTTTGGTGTTGCTAGTTTAGCACTTTGGGTTGTTGGGGATTGTTGTAGGGCGAGGGTTGGGTTGGTAGGGTTTGAACAACTCGTCACTTTTCAGATCTGAACTCTTGCTAAAGCTACTTTCTTGAACTAGTCCATGGCTGCCTAGTAATTCCGCCAGGATACACCGTCGCACTTAGATCGCGATAGCGATCGGCCTAGATCTTTGCTGAAAGCGTGTGTTACCATTCTGGAAAGTAGAGATTAAGACCTTTCTAATGCGTACCTGCTCATAGTTTAAGATTACGTGAGCTGCACGCAATGTTCCGTCGAAGTCGGCGGACTTAATCTCTTGTACGCTCTCCAGATTCGCTCGCTTTCCATCAAGGCCAACCCCATGGCCGGCCTCGATGACGTGGTCCAGTGGATCATTCACACGGAGGTCAAGCTCCGTACCCCTGTTGTCAACCTTACCACCCCTCAGTCCTCCTCCTCCACCTCCCTCAACGCTACGCAGCCGCGCAACCAGGGTGGTCGCAGCGGCGGCGGCGGAGGCCGTGGAACGGGTGGTGGTGGTGGTGGTGGCAGCCGTGGTGGTGGCGGTGGTGGTAGTGGTGGCCGTGGTGGCCGTGGTGCCGGTGGAGGTGGTGCTGGCAGCGCCCCTGCTGAAGGACCTTCCGGTTCTGGTGGTGCTGTGACTCGAGGCGGACGCCCTGGCACTCTCCCCCCATGCACATATGTGCGCCGCCATGGACCCCATGCTGGTACCCCTTGCGGCCAGACCAACCATCCCCCCACCACGTGCTTTAAGGCACTCGACGACGCCTGGTTTGATCGAGGCAACACTGGCACCCCTCCTCGCTGGAACTCGATCGCACCTCGCCCCTCCTTAGTGGATATTCAGACCCTCCCCTCTTTCCTCCCTGCTCACCTCCGCATGGTTACCCCCTCCCCACCCTCACAGCTGCAGCAGTTTCAGCAGCACCAGCAGCAGCAGCACCTGTACTTCCACCAGCAGCAGCAGCAGCCACAGTTTCTCCAGCCCCAGCAGCCGCCGCCGCCGCAGTTCTTCCAGCCACCGCCGCAGCAGCAGCAGCAGTTCCTTCCCCCACCTTGGCAGCAGCAGCCACTCACCTTCGGCACGGCGGCCATGGCCGCTCATACCTCCCTTCCTCCTCCTCCCCCCTGGGGTTCCCTCCCCTCCCACCCCCCCAGTGTTCCCGACACATCTGGTAGTTTCCTTGGTAATATCAGTGTTGCACCGTCCGTCGCTGCCATGAATCCCTCTGCTATCAATGAGACTTCGTTTCAGTATCCCGTCCCACCCCCTCCTCCCTCTTCTCCCACCCTGGACTTTGTCCTTGACAGTGGAGCCACTGAAACCGCACTGAAAGATGCTGGCACTCTCACCCCACTACCACTTCCCACTCAGGTCCATGGAGCTGATTCCAGCTATTCCATTCCATGCACTCACCTTTCCACCCTCCCTTGCACTGCCTTCCCCTCCGGTAAGGTCACAGGTCTCCACATCCCCACTCTCCGCAACAACCTCCTCTCCCACCGTGAGCTCCAAGGTGTTGGTATCACTGCCATTTACCCCGGTTATGCCAATTACTGTGATCTCTACCAGACCTCCTCCGGTCGATTCCTTCTCCGCATTCCGCTTTGCCCCCGCACTCGCCTCTACACACTCCGCACACCTCGCACATCTTTCTGCCATGTCACCACTCGTTCCGGTGCTTCCACCGGTCCACCTCATCTTCCTTCACTTCCCCCCTCCCCTCCCACTCAAGTAACCTCTTCTCCCTTCCCACCATCCTCCTCCTCCCCTCCCGTTCCTTCCTTTACCCCATCTCCCTCCTCCTCCACTGCCCTCTCCCACCCTGCTGTCCTCTTACACCATAGACTCGGCCATCCCAACTTCACCGCCCTTCGCACCACAGTCACCTCTCGCCTCCTCCGCAGCCTTCCTCCCGTCTTACCTCCCCTCCCCTCCCCTCCTCCCCCTCTCCGCCATGCCCTTCGTGCATTCACGGCAAGCTCAAACAGTCCCCCCACCGCAGTCATCCCACTTTCGCCGCCGCCCCCATTGACCTGGTGCACATGGACCTCTGGGGCCCCTATCCCATCCGCTCCCGCCAGGGGCATCGGTACATGCTCGTCCTCGTTGACGACCACAGCCGGTACTCCACCACCTTCTTCCTTCACACGAAAGACCAGGTGCCGGGAGTGGTCATCAACTGGGCCGAACAGTGCCGCAATCACTTCAAACGCCCCATCGGCCGCCTTCACTCTGATGGTGGGGGTGAGTTCATCACTAACACCCTTGCCACATACTGCGCCACCTACGGCATCCAAAAGACCTCCACCCTTCCCCACTCCCCTCAGCAGAACGGCATTGTTGAGAGCCGCATTCGTGAGATCACCAAGATTGCTCGCTGTCTCATTGCTCATGCCTCCACCCCTCCTTCCCTCTGGAGCTATGCCCTCCTCCACGCCGCTCTCCTCCTTAATCTCCACTCCCACCCTCAGCATCCTTCCTCCTCCCCTACAGAGCTTTGGTCCAACGCCAAACCCGACGCTGCCGGCCTTCGCGTTTGGGGATGCAAGGCCTTCGTTCTCATCCCACCCGCCGACCGCTCCCGTGCTACTGGCAAGCTTGCTCCTCGCGCCCTGGAATGAGTTTACCTTGGGCACAATCGCGACTCCCCAGGCTACCTCTTCCTCCACCCTCCCACCAATCGCCTCATCCGCAGCAGCGACGTCGTCTTCGACGAATCCGTCCCCTATTACTCCACTCCTCCCCCTGATCCTCTCCCTCCTCCCACTCGTCCCCTCGCTTGGACCGACACCGTCCTCCCGCCCCTTCTCCCTCCAGCCCCTCTCCTCCCACTCGTCGCAGCTCCGCTCCCTCCCTCCTCCTCCGCCGATGTCTACGACCCTGCCGCACCCGCTTCCCCCGCTCACTCGGCCGCACCCCCTCCCTCCCCCTCTCCCTCCCCCTCCTTCCAGCAGCCGGATCAGCAGCAGCAGCAGCAGCCGCAGCAGCAACAGCAGCAGCAGCGGCAACCGGGACAGCAGCCGGGGCAGCAGCAGCAGCAGCAGCCGGGACAGCAGCAGCAGCAGCAGCCGGGACAGCAGTAGCAGCAGCAGCCGGGCCAGCAGCAGCAGCAGCCGAGCCAGCAGCAGCAGCAGCAGCAGCGGCAGCCGGGACAGCAGCAGCAGCAGCAGCAGCAGCGGCAGCAGCAGGAGCAGCAGCCTCAGCAGCCGCAGCACCCACACGGTCAGCCGCAGCCGCAGCAACAAGGGCAGCAGCGGCGTCGTGCCACCTCCCGTTCCTCCCCCTTCCTCCTCCCTTACATCCATACCCGCTCTGTGGACAAAATCCTTGGGGCTCCTTCTCCTGCCTCCATTCAGCTCCTTGAGGACTCCCATGAGGAGTTTCTCAACATTCGGGAGCACACTCCATTCCTTGCCGCCCTCTACCTTGACTTCCTGGGCGTTCCCGTCCTTGGCGCCACCACTACCCCCACCATCTTCACTCCCTCCACCTTCCAGGAAGCCATCACCTGCCCTGACGCGGACAAATGGATAGCAACGATCTTCCTGGAGTGTGAGGCTTTCATTCGCAACGACTCCTTTGTCGATGTCCCTCTCCCTGCTGGCGCTAATCTCGTTGACGGCAAATGGGTCTTTCGGGTGAAGCAGCTGCCGGGCGAAGAACCAGTGTACAAGGCCCGCTACTGCGCCAAGGGGTTCACGCAGACTTGGGCTGAGGACTACTGGTTCACCTACGCCCCCACCGCCAAACCACCCACCCTTTGCGCCGCCATGGACATTGGTGCCCGTGACGACATGGAAATCGACTCCATGGACGTCTCCAATGCGTTCCTGCAGGTCGAACTGCATGAGCGCATTTTCCTCCGGCGGCCCCCCGGGTTCCACACAGCCTTTCCTAAGAACACTGTCTGGCAGCTGCGTCGCCCCGTCTACGGCTTGAAGCAGGCGCCGCGTGAGTGGCATGCAAAGCTGGCTGCCACCTTGGGGTCTCTTGGCTTCTCTGCTTCCCACTCCGACGCCAGCCTCTTCATCCGCTCCTCCCCCCGCCGCTTCTTCATTCTGGTCTATGTCGACGACATGATCTTGCTCTCTGACACCAAGGCCGACATGGAGCAGGTGAAGCTGTCCCTGCAGCAGCGGCTCAAGTGCAAGGACCTTGGCGCCCTCACTCACTACCTCGGCATGACCATCACGCGCAACCGCCCTGCTCGCACAATCACCCTCTCCCAGTCCCATTACATCGACCAGGTCTTGGAGAAGTTCGTCATGACGCAGGCCAAGCCTGTTTCTACCCCGCTCCCCTTTGGTCACCAACTCGCTCCACCCACCTCCCCCACCTCCTCCCCCCACCCCTACACCGAGCTCGTTGGGTCCTTGATGTACGCAATGATGTGCACCCGCCCCGACCTTGCCTACCCCATCAGCGTGCTCGCTCGCTTTGTCGGCACCGGTCGTCACTCTGAGGAGCACTGGAGAGCTGCCAAGCGGGTCCTCCGCTACCTTCGCGGGACCAAGGACCTTGCCCTAACCCTCGGCGGCCCTTCCCGTCCCCTTCTCTCGGGCTTCAGTGACTCCTCCTGGGCCGACACGCAGCCGGACCGCCGCTCCTCCCAGGGCTATGGCTTCACCCTTGGCAGCGGCCTCATCAGCTGGCGCTCCACCCGCTCCTCCGCTATCTCTCTCTCCACCTGCGAGGCAGAGCTCTACGCTGGCACCATGGCCGCCCAGGAGTCGCGCTGGCTCTGCTTCCTTCTTGAAGAGCTTGGCGCCCCCCAGACGTGCCCCACTCTCTGGTGCGACAACGCCAGCACCATCCATCTCA